GACCCCTGGCTTTGAATCGGCTCAGTTCTGACTGTTACGGCCAATTTGGGAGTGAATCATTGAATGGAAGATCTTTGTCTCTTCTTCTCTCTGAAAATCTGCCTTTCCAATAAAAAATAAACAAATCATTTTTAAAAAAGAAACTGTGGTACATCTACTGCATCAAATGTTACTTAGCCATGAAAAATAGTGAAATCTCCCATTTGCATAGTCCCAAATAGAGATCATTGTACTCAGTGAAATAAGCCAATCCCAAAAGGACAAGTATCACGTGTTCCCTCTGATATATAGGGCAACCTCCCTGTAAAACACAGAATAAGTAGATACATAGGTAATCGCATCATGTAAATACATACATTCTTGTATAGGATTTGTATTGAAGACTAGTACACTGGGAAATGAAGCTACATTGCAGTATGCACCTCTACTCTCGAGTAAAAGAACTCCCGGAGAAACTATTAAATATACCTTGACAGTAAGCGTACTGGACTATCTGCCATTGCCTAGAATGATGATACGTGGAATAGCAGAATGTTGCACTTGTGATGGTTGTTGCAATACTATTGTAATAGTATGGGAGAAACAGAGAGGAAGGTACGGGGGTGTAGAGTGGATTCCCTGTGCCTACAGAACTGTATCATGAAAAATAATAAATTTAAAAAAAAGAAGAATTCGGAATTAAAGGAGGAAATAACAGGATGGCTCTAAAGTGCAAGCTTGTATAACTGGGTGAATAATGACACCTTTACACAAAAAATGAAAACTAGTTTAATCTTAACATTTTAAAATTAATGAACTTTTGACACGCACAAAGAAGACTAGGGAATAAAATGAGCAGCAAGCACTGTGGCACGGAAGGTTAAATCCCTGCCTGTAGCAGAAGTATCCAATATGATCAAGTTCCAGATGCCCCACTTGTGATCCAGCTTCCTAAAGATGGCCTGGAAAAGAAGCAGGGGATGACTCAAGGGCTTGGCCTTCTGCACACAGAAGAGGCTCCTCATTAGACCAGCTCAGCTCAGCCCTTTTCGGCCTTTGGGGAGTGAACCAATAAATCAAAAGTTTTCTCTCTCTCTCTCTCTCTCTCCCTCCCTCCCTAACTCCCTTCCTCCTCTATATTACTCTTGCTCTGTGACTCTGCCTTTCAAATAAATAAACTTTAAAAATAATGTAGAAAGAAACACAAGTGACATAACCTATTTCAAGGTTTGCATTTGGAGAGGCTTTGAAAGAGGAGCTACAGGGAAGCAAACTGCTTTGCTGGTAAGGGAGGTTAATGTCCAGTCATACTAGAAATGAATATGGTCTATGAACACGGTGTAAGACACTGATGGATAAAAGTAGAAGTTCAATGACTTTAGAATATTTAAAGGACCTCACTGTACTACAGACAGAATAATATTGATTTTTACATGAAAGACTTTGTTTGACTTCAAAGTTTTCCAATTGTTTGTACTTAATCCTTGTTTAAGAATCCAGAGATATGGAGCTTCCATGATCTTAACTACAGGAGAAGTTATGGTGTAGATTCACAAACTTCAAGGTGGTTTATAACCCTATGATGTCCCGAGAAGCCATATAGCTTCACATAACTTTGAGCCACATTTGACATTTCTGCAAATTACCTTTGACTCTTAAAGTTCCTGTATGTTTTGAATGGGGATTCACAGAGACAGGTGCATAGAATTAGATTATCCTTCTGTTCTTTGTATTCCATTGTGTAGGATTTTAGCCAGAGCTCTTGTATAAACATATTAAAAGTGCTCTTCTGTAAGCCTTCATGTAGCAATAAATAGAAGCATTATAAACCATTAGAAAGTTTATAACCTTCCAATCCTCGGCTTTCATCAACATAGGTGAAGGAACATAATTGAAATAAGATCATTTTTTACTGGCCTCCGTTTCTCCAGTGACGGTGGGATAGGCAACATCTGGAGCTGTTCTGCTGACTTCCAACAGAGTGTTTTTCGAAATTGGGGACAATCTTATGTATGTCGGCTTGTACCTTCCCTTTATTACCAGATGCCAGTTAGAAAACCAAGTGTTGTATTTCTCTGGGAAAATTCTCACCTCTTTTTCTGTGCTATCACAGTCCTTACTGCTTTGCCATTGTCTGTCTAAAGACCCCCAGGGCTCTTCCCTTCAAGTTGTTTATTCCTGTTCAGACCATTCCCCACTCCTGGTCCAACAGCCAGCTCACCTCTTAATCCTAGGTACCCAGTCAAATGTTTCTTTATACTTCCTTTGTTTGGACTGTGTCTTCCACTTCTTCCCAGTTCCAAAATCCATCTATTATGTCAGACCCTCTGCAGCTTGCATTTTTAATTGAAGTAGAAGTTGGAATATTTCTATCATTCAGTCCGTATTTCTCTGTCTTTCAAGTAAATAAATGAATAAATAGATTTAACTGAATTTAAGTAACTTGACTGTAAGTTTGACAGATTGCCTCCTTTTTCATCCTGTAAGTAGTTTATCCTTTCAGTATAATGTATTTTTCAGAAATTGTGTATTCCTTTGAATTGAAAGCTAAGTGATTTTTTTTCTCAGTCTACCTTTCTTTAAATTATGACTTGGGGAAGATCACTGTACCCATTTCCAGGCAGGTATATATACCTTTCTTATTTGGCAGAACAATGATAGTTCACTAATTGTGTCCCTTTACTTTATAGTGTAATTCCCTTTAATTTATAGTATGCACTTTATAGTGTAATTCTTTCTGTACTCAGCAATAAGTTATCTGTGATCTTTGTTTTTCAGTGCCACAAGTTTGTAGAATATTGTTGGAGTATTAAAACAGATTGTAAAATGTTTGGTCAGTTATCACTTTAAATTATTAAGATACTCTGCAGTTATTGAGAACTTAATTTTTGTGTGTCATTTTTTCATAAACACATTTGTCCCTCGTTTTTCACAGGGATCTTCTGCCATACCAAAGTGTGCAGATGTTCAAGTTCCTTACATAGAATTGCAGAATATTTTCACATAACAATGCACACTCTCCTTTATGCTTAAAATACTTCTAGGTTACTTAGAGTACCTAAGAGAATATAAATGGCAAGTAAGTAGTTGTCACATACTATTGTTTAAGGAATAATAATAAAACATGTATGTACATGTTCAGCAAGGATATTGTTTTTTCTAAATATTTTCAATCTGTGCTTGGTTGAATCTATGAATGCAGGAATCACAGTCTAAAAAGACCAAATGTATTGTCATGGCTTTCTTTGTCATAGGCTTAAAGTCCCTGATCAAATGTCACATCTTCAAACTAGGCTAAAATGTTTATAAGAATGCTGGGATGTTTTATTAGTGTTCCTGAGGTAGTGCTCCTGCATTCCTGCACAGGGCTTTGTGAGTGCAATCAAATCAACTATTTGTTCAAGTGTAACATATATATTTAATTATACATATGATATATATGATATATATTATGTAAGTGTAATGTATATTTACATATATATATAAAACATATAGTTATAATAATAATACAGTTTGACTTGCTGAGCTGTCAAGTTTAGGAATCAGTAAGACATGAAAGTACATAAAATTTTTTTCTCAGAAAATGGAAATATATGTATATTTGTACAAAAATTTTTGATACCCTTGCATATTTTTTCAGAGTTCTCATTTTCTTTCTTTATGATTTATTTATTTTTATTGGAAAGGCAGATATACACAGAGGAGAGACAGAGAAGATCTTCCATCCGTTGATTCACTCCCCAGTTGACCACAATGGCCGGTGCTGTGCCAGGAGCCTGGAACTTTCTCCAGGTCTCCTATGTGGGTGCAGGGTCCCAAAGCTTTGGACCATCCTCGACTGCCTTCTCAGGCCACAAGCAAGGAGCTGGGTGGGAAGTAGAGCATCCAGGATTTGAACCGGCGCCCATATAGGATCCCGGCGAGTTCAAGGCAAGGGCTTCAGCTGCTAGGCCACTGTGCTGGGCCCCAGAATTCTCATTTTTCTAGAAACTTCCTGTTAATACCTCACAAAGCTTTATATTGAAAATAGATTTGGATCCAAGTAACAGTGACCTACAACAGGGACGTTTCTGCCTCAATCCATTGGATGACAAGTAGTCCTGACATGAAGCTGTATATTGAAGACCTGAACGGGCCAGGATTCTTGTATTTTCAGTTGGTGCACCCTCTTCTGTTTCTGCTTACTTGATCCTGGTTGACTTGTCACCAAGGCAACATTTTACAGGAGGAATGAAGTCAGGGACAAGAGGTGAATGCTGAAGGGAAAGAGCGTGTCCATCCGTCTCTATGCACAGAAGCCAGAGTTCATGCAGATCATCATTTGTGCACATATTTGGCCAAAACCCATTCTTGTAGCCATCCTTGCAGCCATGGGAAGCCTAACACATGTGCATTTTGATCTAAAAAGTTGAATACAAAGAAAGAATGGGTTGGAGGAGGACAAACTAAATGTTTTCATTGGTTAGGTTTGTGCATTAGCATTGAGAATAAATAGCATACACGCATGTCTTTAGACCCTTTCTCTACCATAGGAACTGAATGTTCCTCTTAGTTATAGGGGGAAAGTGCCTTTGTTGAAAACTGGTCTCAGATCACAAGTTTCAAGGCATATTGAAATAGAAGAAGTAGCATATTAAATTCCCAAATATCATATACAAGTTGTTTTTTTAACAGGTCAGAAATAAATGATCAGTATCCACTTACTTATGTCCTATAACCACCCTGTCCGTGAGGAGCATTTGAATTTTAAATTGCTGCTGCTAAATCTTAGACAAATGGTTTTGGTGAATTGATTGGTATCAGACCAGGAACTTAAACACAAATCAGCTGTTGTTGAACAAGCACCATTTTCATAACGTTAATATGTTTTCACTTAACAAACTGGAATGAACTGTTAAGCATCGCCACTTCCATGTTTAACTACCCTTTGACTTCCTCGATGACCAACTTGCTTTCTCAATAGATTGTTTAACTGAAGCAGGAAGATTTTTACTTAAGTCGTATTCTTCACCCTTTTGCAGAATGTCCTCAAGAAAAGTGGGGCTTTCCAATGAGCTGCTATTTAAAGGAAGAGAAGTGGTGCTGTGGTCGCAATGCCAGAATGTCAGCCTGTTTGGTATGTTGTATTTTTTTTTGTTGTTGTTAAGTAAGATTTTTATCCATATTTGCAGAACTTAATATTTTTGGAAAATATGCATCAAATGCGAAATTTTGTGCAGCATCACCATTAACATTTATATATATATAACAAACACTTAAAAGTAAAATTTGCCCTCTCAGCATTTTTCACTCTACATGAAGTATAATAACAAATATTTGTAAAAAAAAAAAAATTATCCCATAAGATGTGCCAAGTACCAAGTGGTCATTCACTCCCCAAGTGACCGCAACGCCCGGAGCTGAGTCAATATGCAGCCAGGAGCCAGGAACTTCCTCCTGGGTCTCCCATGTGGGTACAGGGTCTCAAGGCTTTGGACCAACCTCTAGTGCTTTTCCAGGATACAAGCAGGGAGCTGGTTGGGGTGCAGGGCCACCAGGACATTAACCAGTGCCCTTATGGGATCCCAGCGCATGCAAGGACTTTAACCACTAGGCTACCGCGCTGGACCCCCAAGTACTGAGTGTTACATACCTAATAGGTTTAAAACTTTATTCACAGCATAATATTAGTGTTTGGTGTCCTAATTTTTACAGAATAGGGAAAATACTGAGTTTTCTGGGCTGTGATATTACTAATTGAGTAAAATTTTATTGTGCCTTATTTAACAAGTATCCTTAGATTTAGAGTACTTTAGCCCGAGTTGGTATTCCCTGTTGGATAGAGTAATATTGACTTACAAAGGATCAAATTAAATAGTATGAGTGATTTGTTTGTGTGTTTGTGTCAGAAACTTATGTTGAACATGTGTGATAGATAAATCAGAAGAACTAAAGTATAGCATAATGACAGGTAATCATAACTCCATTATATACTCGCCATGAACTTCTCTAAGAGTCGATGTTAGACGCCATTACCACATACACACAAGGTCACTAAGGATGGGGATGTAATATTTGTTACCTTGATTTAACTGTGTGTGTATACAGAAGCATCATATTATATGCTTTCAGTTAGAGTTTAAATATGAAATATTTCATTTACATAAATATACACAATGGTTAATGACCAAACCAAAGATAAACTGATTGTTGTATAGTCCACTATGTTCATATAAATTACATAGCAGTTTACGAAGTATCATACCAAAGATCTAGGTGATATAACCTAAAATTGTATTTATGCTGAAATATTTATTGTCTTATGAATCTTCACCTGAAATGCTTTAGCACAAGTTTGTCTTATTTCAGGATCTTGTTAGAATGACAGTCAGTTTTGGAATGATTTGATTTCTAGAATGTTGGCAGCCAGGCTTGAACCTTCCAAAAGACCAAAATATTCTTCCAGGAAATCTCATTAACCTAGGGAGGAAGACAAAAGATGCTAACATTAGGAATATCACAGTGAAACAAGATAGATGTAGTTCTCTTTGGTGAGATAGCTGATTAATACCCCTTCCTCGTCAACCACAAAGCTTGTAATCAGGTGTATGGTACTTTCAACTTAATTATCAATAAATGGCCAAGCTCACTAAGTGTTTAAGAAAAGTCTAATATTTAAAAAATAGTAATGATAGAGATCATTGGGTCAGTGTTGTGGCATATTTAAATCCAATTTACTTACAAAGCTTCGTAAAAGTGTAGTGTGTCTCTATTAAAAGGAAGATTTCAGAAGCCATTATTTCTTGTGTAAGTGACAAATTTCATAATAGACTGTGTATATTTGTTTAAAATGTTAAAATGGCTTATGTCATATGTAAGTTGAAAAATCGGTAGATGTAAAATTGCGAAAATATATGCAAGTATACTTATGCTTCCATTTGTCACTTGATGGTTTCTTGTAAATTTTATTTGGATTTGCAGAACATGTACACTCAGATATACCTTAATTTCAACTTTGTGTTTGTTCATTTTAATTTAATAAATTATAAAATTATATATTCATTAAATCATAAGTAATCATGTCAAAAGATAGTATAGGAGTTATACCAATGTCTATATGTTTATAGAATAATTGCTTTAGCTATGTTTAAATGAGTTGAGATGTCATTCCATTTCTGTTCTGTTTGTTCCGAAATTCAAGGATTGTGTGTAATGGACCTGTATATATGTTTATGTGTATGACACACATCTGTTATAAATCAAACCTAATTATATAAATGTACTAGTTAACATTCTTTAATGATATTAATACTTCCATGCATGTAAATTTACATGTTATCAATTAATCTTTTTCAATGTCACTTTTACGAACTCCTTTACTGTATGTTTATAACTCCTACTAGATAAGACTAAATATCTCAGTATTCTTTGTATTGTTTTTTCTTTGAAGGCATTGGAGAGAGTTGAAGTTGGCCAAGGGGTAAGTGAGAGAGTTTACTATAATCCAGATGAACATGATAGTTTTTTCTCTCAAGCACTTTTCATACTTGACCTGCTGATGAACCCAAAACCTGATGGATCTTAATAAATATCACCTCTGCTTGTCACTGCTACATATTCAGATTTTACAGTTCCTCTAGGTTTACTTTAAAAGAAAAGTGAACTTTTAACCAAGTCAGTTGAGCTTTTAGGAAAATTTCCATATTATACTCCAGCACTAACCTCTCACTTCTTCATATACTAAACAGTCTATAAATATCTCTAAAGAATGTTGTTTCTGAGTCTCAAGCTTTTATGGGCCTAGTTCAAGTAAAGATAAACAAGGTATAACATGCAATGTATTATTTAACTGTAGTCCAAAACAAATATTTCAGTACGTTGTTTGATAACTTATTTTAAATGGACTTGATTAGTCATTAGTTGCAGCAGAAAACTGGACTTCTATGTGTAAACAGAAGTTGAATGTATCCGCCAGCTATCCATATAATTGCACTGTCCTACTCTGTCTTACATTCATGAAACATGTTAGGAATTTCTAAAGAAATTTTTATAAGATGATTCTTGTTTAATTTAAGAAACCTCTCTTTTGCTTCTTCCCAAGTAACATTAATAGTTTATACTCGCATTTTTAAATGATTTTGAAATCATAATAATAGCAGGTGCTATATTAAGACTGCTTACTCTGAGCTAGGGACATTGATGAGTACTTTGGGTTTTTGTTGTTGTTATTGTTTTAAATCTCTTTACCCTGGCTACCTAAAAATAGATTAAAGGTATTCTTGTGGTAGCATTAGATCATATTAAGCTTTGGGGTCTAGGCAGACTGCCAGTTTGCATCCTGTCTTCTTCATTTAATCATTAAAGCATGTATCAGAATTTCTCTGTAGTTTAATTTCTTTGTCTAAAAAATAGGAAAACAATAATAAAAGGAGGAGTAAATATAATTTCCTCGTAAAACTGTGGTTAGTATTGAATAAATTAAAATGTAAAATTCTTAAAACAATATCTAATGAAGAGCTAGAAATATCTATTGTTACTAATGGTAATCATAATTATGAAGATGAAAATATTAGATGAAAGTAGCTCAGAACTTATCCAAGTACTGTTCTCATCAGGTAAGGTAATAGATATATAGTACTAAAAGGTACGTTTTCAGTAATAACCCCATGATACACATGAGAGATACATAAGATAGTGAGTAATCATTTGAATTTGTATCTGCCTCTGGAATTCAGCCTCTTAACTACTGTACTACATAGCAACTTAGTTGTTCCTAGGGGTTGGGAAAAAAAAAAAAGCTGTTGCCATAATGCCATAAGAGGGTTTTTTTTCCCAAGTGTTTGTTCACGCTTATAATCAATCTTATGTTCTGGGCATTATCCCAGGCTTTCATGGAGCATGCTACATAGCAGAAGCTAGTGTGTTCTAGCTCCTGTAATCAGTTGCAAAGCCCTGACTTTCAGCTAAATGCCCTTTCCACTAGAACTCTACAATGTATGTCTGATATACTTTAAGAGTATATACTTTTTGCATTAAAGTGTTAAGTAGATTTATCACATCTGAGAGAAAGAACATAAACTCTGAGTCACATGCAGTTTGTGGCTGGACTCCTCAAGCACAGGCTGCCTGGGAGAGGTTGCCTGCCTTCCCACATACCCCAGCTATATGGACCAGGATGAATATCCTACTACCTCCTGGAATGCACATTTGAAGGTACTTCATAACCCCTTGCCATTTCTCTTAGGGAGCAGTTATAAAGCTCTTTTTCACTCATAATAAGTTGGGAATTCTGATTGATTTTATACAGTATTTCTCTGCATTCTATCAGAATGTTCTCTTGCTTAAAATGCAAGGCTTACTCTTTTATAAGAGCTAGTAATTGCCTCTGGCTTCATGTAGTACATTTGCCAAAATGCATTGATTTTCAACAAGACAGTTAGAAGAACAAAATTGTTAATATTTTCAGTTATTTTAGCATTTTCTAACAGACGTAAAGGGATTTTTAAAGAAGAGAAAGGTGATGAAAGATTTTATTACTATAGGAAAGACTTACTTGAGATGAAAAATGTCAAATTGTAAGTATAACCAAAGATAAGAAATTCTAAATGAAATTTTAGCAGTTTCCAAGGAATGGAAAGTTTTGAAATCAGTGATTTTTTTTTTCTTATTTCAATTGAAGGGAATTGTAAACATATTTAATATAAGGAAGCTACCTTTTGAAGGTTGCATGTTTAAGTGTGGGCACTCAAATATATGCATGGGTCTACTGTCCATGAACTATTGTAAGAATTTACCTGAGGAATAGAATATTCCCAACACCATTTTCTGCTGGAATTGCCCAGCCCATTATTCCATTCTCCTGGAGATTACGGAGGTTGTGTTCTTTCAACACAATTACTGTCTGAAGCAATTATCATGTGCTATCCTAAGATACTGTTACATCAGATATTCTGCAATGACAGCGCAAAGTGCAGTCACCTGAAAACAAAAAAAAATAACAGTTACCCCTCTCCACTGCCCTCTCTAATGTTGGTTCTTTGTGGTCAGGATACCACATTTGGGAAACCTGCAATTGGATCGGAGCAGTAAATAAAGTTTTCTATTTGAACACATGAATTATTATTTTGTGGGAAACACCATATGAATTCCAACTTTTTTTGTGTGGTTGAATACATGAAACTGTATGATTTGGGCTCTGAACAAAAGTAGCACGTAGGGAAGAGTAACTTGTGGATCTAAGCTGTCCAGTGAACTCTGCAGTTCAAACTGCACCAGACCTTCGACCGTGTGCTTTGCTCTGTTTGACTAATCCAAAGCACTAACTGTTGTTGGCCTCCTTCGTTCTTGCTTGTTTTTCCCTTTTCCTTTATTTCCTGAATAGTAACTTTGCTTGCAAATAGGATTGTCATTGCTAACATGATTTTGTGTTGAATGTTTCTGTACTCTAAAGGTCAGAAAATTTGTGGGGATAAGAAGCAGATTTGTACTTTCTTGTGTAAGAGTTCCTCTTCAGTTACTTTGCTGAAGGTTTTTCTTTGATGAATGTTACTTTCCTGCTTTATGCTTCTTTGAAACTGGCATGCTTCTTGGGGTCCAGCCATTCCTTCCTTAGGAAGCGATTGAAGCTTCGTAAATCACTTCTCATCTCCTTTTCTATTGGAAGTGAAGCCTTTCCAAGAATCTGTGACTTATTCTGTGTCCTTTCCAAAGCTCAGCTTTTCAGCTCTGCTGTAGTCAATGCTATGCTCTTTCAGGACTAGGATGTATATTTAGTATTTCCTTACTTAGAGTATTATCTTGTAGTTGATATTATCTCTGACTTACCTCCATTAGGACAGAGCCACCTTTGTTGCTCTTTTACATGTGTTCATCCTGACTGTCAGGCTGCAGCAGCGCTTGGCTGATCTCCAGAGTTTACTCCTATAGGTCTCTGTTGTTTCTCCCGCATTCATTACTGTGTCTTCTGTCCTCTGGAAGAATTAGTTTCACAGTGAGGATTAGCCTTGGGACAGCACTTGAAGTTTAAATGGAATGATATTATAAAATCCTCCTCTATGATTAGCAACAACGCTTTCTAAAATTTACTTTCAATCATGACTTTCTGGTATTGATTTGGTTTCTGATTTTTGTTTTTTTTTTTTCTTGTGCTTATATGTGTCTACATTTTTTGCAGCTGCCTACTGAATCACTATTCTATCGTGCTGTTCTTCAAGTCATTATAAAAGATTGTTATGGAATCACCAAATGGTATGAGGCTTTTATTTTAATAAGAATAATGTTATATTGTAAGTGAAATAACTTTTAGTATTCAAGTGAATTTATTCAGTCACTATTATTAAAAACTTTGAATTTAAGTGTAACATCAAAAAGACAGTAAGCTATATCATAGATTAATTATCATTAAAATAGGAGCTCTAATATTTTCTTTTTTCCTGGAAGTTTATTTTAATTCTAAAATGTGCTTAAGATTTTTTGAAGTACTGATATATTTTGTATGTTTCAGTTAAATAAGTATTATTTCAGTAAGTGTCTCAGTTAATTAGTTTTCATTTGAGCAGGAATTACATTTAGAATGTTTGACATCTAGTACAGCATAGACATTTAACTAACTACAACAAATATCATTCATAAATCGCCATTGTGATTATTCATATTTTTGCTGGTAGAATGGCAGCCATACATGTTTTCTTTTATTCTGTTTATACCAATCATACACTGATTATCCAAAATGGAAAAATATAGGAAAAGTTTCTCATGTTGGTTCAGCAACTGTTGTATTCAGCCCTATATTCACAATCAGATATATTTCCTGAATTTCTTTTACTAATTTTAAGTTTAGGGCTCTGACAGCCACTTGTAGCATAGGCTTACTCTTCAACTTAAAAGGGGAAATTTTCTGGTCATAGTAAAATCAGTTCACACCTACTAATACATGTAAGAAGTTTTATATTAGTTCTTTTCTGTAAGAGAGAAAGTGTCTTTATGCCAGTAGTAATTATTTCAGCCAGATATCTGATTTCATCTTTTTCATTTTCATGTAACTAGCTCCCAAATCATGTCAGTATGCATTCTCTCTTCTGAATATTTACTGGTCTTTTTGAAATTTTCTTTTAAATATTTTTCATAATTGAGAGGAACGCATGCTCATATGGACCTCTGATTAGGGTGGGGAGGGTCACGTGTGGAGGAGAGTGGGTGGGATCCATGTTTCTTTTGAGCTCATCTCATGATGTTAACTTTGTTGAAAAAATGTAATAAAGTTATATAACTCCAGTCCTTTAAAGTATTGACTACTTAAACTTCAAATTTGTTCATACATTTATTGTTCCCTTAGTAACTTCTTAAATTTGATCACATCTTTTCTAAGTGTTTCTTCTCACTTAAGTATTTTATACTGTACAATCCATGTCCTTTTGCCTTCCTTTATTTCTAAGATAGATATTTATTACAAGTTTTCTCTCATTCCACAGTCTCCTTGACCTTGCATCCACGTTTGACCATGTTGACCATTGTTTTCCCTCTAAAGTGTTTTCTTTAATAACTTCCATTAAATTTCATTCTGTGGAGTTTCTTTTCCTCCTCTGAATACTCAGCCGTTTTCCTTAAGGGTTCTTCTTGTTACTCCATCTCCTAACTGCATCTAAGCATTGTTTGGTGTTTTATATGTAGTTCCTGTCTGTTCACATTTGTTTTCTCTTAGCAGTTACCTTCACCGCAACTAACTCTTGACTCACACACTTCCACTTATTTTTAGAAGTTGAAATCTAAAGTACTCATGTTGATATGAATAGCTTCTCTTGAGTGCTTCCCAAATGCACCGAATTCAGCTCTTATCTGAAACCAGTGTGTTCCTCTACTTGCATTGCTTTTTTGGAGTTTCATGTTCTTCTTGCTCATGGTTCTTGTGTTTCTACACTCATTTTAAAGCATCTTTGGCAGCTTTTGCTGGGTTTCCTCCTTTGAATGCTTTTGTCTTTGAAATATATCCTTTCTGACTTGATGCAGTGTCCACTGCTTCAGCAGAATCCAGAGGTGTGTGCATGCAGATTGTGATTATTGTAAGTGATACACATGTCTCTCTACTAATACATTCAATTAATTTTTCAATAAATAGAAATTCAAGCTGGAAGTCTTACATTCTCTTTCCTTTGGGGTGTGCTCACCCCTTTTTGGATATTACAATGATGTAAAATACTAAGAAACAAGAGTGAAAATGTGACAAAAAGGTAGTCTGTCAAGTACAAAACTTTATTTGGAAGCCAAAGAAGACTTCCATGAGACAACAAGGTTTGATATAAAACAAGAAGGCAGGAATTTATGCTTCCCATGGCAAAACAGTCACAGGTGAAATATTCTAAGAATGGTGTTTATGACCAGAAATACAGTGTATTCAAATAACTGAAAGAATGCCTTCATTTTTCAAAAGGCCAGGCGATAACAGAGTACTGGAGTGTTCAGAAGAGGACCTGTCATACAGAGCTTGTATTCGTATGATGAACGTTTATCCTAATTCATGAGAAACTCTTCTTAGAGCTTGAAAGAGGAGAACCAACTTTTTTCTGATAACCAACTTTCTAGTTTAATCTGTGTGATATTTTTCCTGCTGTTATTGGTAAGGATCATTAATGGTACAGACTAACAAATAGAATGTCAAAATGTAGGGAACAGTTTAAAATATAGTAGACTGATGTAAGAATGGAAAAAATAAGTTCTGAAATATAATGGTACTTGAATGATTTGGAATATGTGAATAAACTGGGCCTGATAATTTAACAAATAATTTTGAAATGTATTCCCTATGAATGTTGAAGAGATACTGACTTTTTTTGTAACAGGAAAATGACAAAATGAAAAGTGTTTCTCTAAGAAAGTAGCATGTAGGCAAAAAAAAAAAAAAGAGAAAGAGAGAGACTTTAGTTAGGAGTTTTGTATTGCAAATAGTTGAAACAATCAGGACACGAGATACTAAGAAGTAGAATCGTCATGTCTAGGTTAAAGTAGACCTGAAGGAAATGTATCTCAAAGGAAGAATTGTTAGAGTGACAGGCCAAATTAGTCATGTGGGTAATAGTTCCTGAACAAACAATAAATGAAGTTTTAGTCATAGCTTCTGATGATTTTAAAGTAGTGATTTGTTTTTTAAATCCCTTCATTTTTATATTCTGCCTAAACTGTAACCAAATTTTTGAGATAGGATAGTCTAGTAGTGTGTTCTGTAAATTCAAAACCACCTCATACATTTTGGTTTAAAACATAGTGAAATTCTGCTTGGCATAACTGACATCAAGGCAAACCTAACTCGGCATATGGTGTTTAATCAGTGACTGGCATTGAGAAGGTTCTCCTTCAAAAGCTGTTGAATTATTGCCACCACCAGCAGGTGTTACAATTATATGTGCACAGGAATATTGAGCCAATAAAACTAAGGTATTCATGGGAAACTTTTGCAAAATCTGTTTGTGCATTTTTTAAATTAGACTTTTTTTACTAAATTTAAATCATCTTTCCCCAGGTATTATCTTCGAAATATTGTGTGCCACTGCTGTGTATTTTAAGAATTCTAAGCAGATCTGTATGCTACAAAGCTTTAAAACATTTTTTTAAAAAAGTGTTACTACATTTTAATCATATTAGGAGCTTATATTCCATATATTCAGAAGGTGTCTTTAAATGTTTAATGAAGAACATAAACCTGTTGTATAATTTAAATTGGAACAAATGAGAAAATCTATGTGATTTTGTTTTACAGTGAGCAACATGTTGGTAAAATTTATTCCAAATCTTCTTCCTTTCTGGATTATGTCAGAAAGTCTTTAAGAAAGCTTGGACTAGATGACTCAAAGGTGAGTATAAGACTACCCATGGTTTTTATAAAAGAGCTCCTCTGAGCTAACAAAATCTCTCTATCTGTCTCTCTATATATGTAATGTAATTATATATAATGGGTAATGGATAAATATAATTTACCTCCAACATTCCTTCCATTTGTGTTTCCAGTTTATCTTTCCTGTGAATTTTAGATAGAATGCTGTTTTTGCACTTTCTGAAAAATTCCCCTTTGAGTTTTATTGATTTAAAAAAATAAAACTTGGACCCAGCGCGGTGGTGCAAGTGGCTAAGGTCCTCGCCTTGCACAACCGGGATCCCATATGGGCACCGGTTCTAGTCCCGGCGGCCCCGCTTCCCATCCAGCTCCCTGCCTGTAGCCTGGGAAAGCAGTCGAGGACGGCCCAAAGCTTTGGGACCCTGGACCTGCGTGGGAGACCCGGAAGAGTCTCCTGGCTTCGGATCGGCATAGCATCGGCCATTGCGCTCACTTGGGGAGTGAATCATCGGACGGAAGATCTTCCTCTCTGTCTCTCCTCTCTGTATATCCGCCTTTCCAATAAAAATAAAATAAATCTTAAAAAAATTAAAAAAAATGAAACTCACAATTTGAAACAGAGTTGAGAAACAACACAGTAATACAAGCAGAGATAAATAAAGGAAGAGAAACTGAAGAGAAAAACAATGTGTAGAGCTTTTATAACTAATAAAACTTAAAAGTTATATGTTTTAAAAAGCATATGAATAGCAGACCTATAAAAAATTGTAACATCATAGGAGTCCCAAGAAATAATTGAAAATTACATTGAAGACATAAAGGTAAGCTGTTTGACTTACGGTAATGATAATCTAAGAGAAAATCTGAGGGAAAAGCCTAATTCAAATACCAAAAATTGAATTCAATATCAAAATATTAATTTAAATATATATTGCTCTGATATTTCTATTTCATTATAAATTTGTAAAACAAAACAGGTGGTTAAAAGAAGGAAGTGAATTTCTTAAAGAAAATCGTTGTACAGGTATTATCAAATTTTATTAGTTGAAACTTAGTATTTATTGTACCAATTATCTCTTTAATCCCTATTTTTTCTCTGTTTAAAGCAGTTGAGCTGTTATTAATCAGTTTTCTCCCCTGTAAAATCAGCATTAGAAGGCCCTAAGAATTAGGAAAAAACCAACCTACCATTCTTCAGTAGTACAGACCATGACTGTAACCAATAGTTAAATATTAGTTCACTAGTCTCAGACATAGAGATAATTATGTTTCTTTGTACTGTGTGCATTGGTTATCACACACTAGGGAGAGTTTGTGATATTTATCTTTTGGGAACTGGCTTATTTCACCAAGCATATGGTTTCCAATTGGATCTGTTAAGTTGCAAAGTACAAGATTTCATTCTTTTTTCGTACATGAGTGGTATTCCATAGTGTGTATCTAACACATTTTCTCTATCCGTCCTTCAGATGAGGGCATGTGTGGTGGTGGTGAAGGTGAGGCTCCTTCCTGGTCGTGCCTGTTAGAACTTCTGTGTGCACCCAGTGCTTGGATGCTCCTTTGTTTCTCCCTATCAGGGAAATTTCCAGTGTAGGAAAGTTATCACTGACTAGGTCTTCATTCTCTCTTTCCCTGTCTTATGAAATTTCTGAGACATATATCTTAGGCCATTTGATAGTATACTGCAAATGTTGGACACCATTTTTGATTTTTCATTTCTTCTTGTGTTTTGTCTGAGATTTTGTCTATCAGACATTGCTTTGTCTGCCTCAGCGAGTCTGCTGTTAAGGCTTTTCGCTGTATTTATTATTTGGCCTACTAAATTCTTCATTTCTAAAAATGCAGTTTGAATTTTTCTTCAAAATCTGAATCTTGCAGGAAAACTTCTTATCCATGTCATGTATGGAATTTCTTAATTGACTCATTAACTTCTGGGGCAGAATTAATTTCATTGTGGCTTTGATTTGCATTTCCTTTAGTATTACTGCTGTTGAACATTTTTCCACATATTTGTTGGTCTTTTATGTATCTTTATTGAGTCCTAAATCGTAACAAATATACTATGTTGTAAGATATTAATATTTAAAAATGAATATAGAGTATATGAAAATTCTCTGTACTACTTTCAGAATGTCTATAAATTTACTGTTATTTATAAATATGTATAGTTTAAAAAACAAAAACTGTGCAAGAAAAACTAATGTGTATTGAGCCTTTGCTTCATACTGTGGATTCTTTGTACTACAGGTAATTCTAATCACTTGTATTACTAGACTGATGTTACAAAATGAGTTCTAGGTAATGTGTTTTGTTGGTGGACGAGCTAAGATATATGTTAACTTTAAATCAAAGTCTAGGAAATGAGGGGGGTAAAGATTTCAATCCAGCTGTTGAATTCTGGAGTCCCATGCTTCATCATTATGTCACACTGTCACAGATCGTCAGTTGACATTCACAGATGAACACTTGTTTGGCATTTTTGTAGAACGAGCAGTCAAATAATAAGCCTATGCGAAACAATAAAACTTGTGCTGACAAAAATACATTACACTTTGAAATCAGACTGAAGGACAGATGAAATTCAGTGAATGAATTGTATGGCAGAGTTGAAGATACACTTGCGTCCAGCACTTTGATGTCTGAATCTCTTGTAGATAGGGTGAAAGTGGTCAAGAATATGAAATGTCAGTGAATTGTCAAACATACTGCGTAGCACACAAGCTGTTAGAATTACAATAATTGTCATCCAATTCCAGGGAAAATGGGAAATATGAAACCAGAGTACCTATACATGGTTCCTTACTTGTATCTTCAGTATTTTTTATGATAAAGTATCTCCCTGAGTTGGATCCAAAGCCACAAACTTGGAGCTCTGTTACAAAGCTTAACTTGTTTAATTTCTTTTCTGTCCTCAAGGCATGGATCAAAAGGAAGCAGTAGAATTAGTGTCAGATTTACCAGATGTTGTTCATTGTGCACATTGTTTCCATTTGCATTTAAAATTTTATTTATTTTTATTTACTTAGAGGGAGTTGAGGGGCGGGGAGAGAGAGAAAGAGAGAGAGAGAGAGCATCTATCCACTGGTTCACTGGTTCATTCCTTGAATCTGTAAATCTTTAAACCAGTCTGAAGCCAAGTGCTCAATACTCAATCCTTGTCTCCTACATGGGTAACAGGAGCCCAAGTACATGAAACATTCCTTGATGTTCACTTTTTGTAAGTATTCAATAATTTCTGCAGTCTGATCTGAAAAGTTTTTGATCATTTGCAAAATTTGATTAATGTTGGACTCAATCTAGCCAGTGACTTTTGCCCTTGAAAGCATGGGCTCACTACTGGGGATTCCATGTAAACTTTTTGGGTAAGGCATATCTATAATGCATAATCTAAAATATTCAGTTTGGTTCACTTCAAATAAAGTGACAAAATAATTTTTAAACCTTAAGAGTAAGAATGGTAGTCTGTTATTTTCTCTGCAAGATCACTCAAAAATATCCAACAGAGTGTTAAACAGAAACAGGCTGTTTTGGCTGTATCACAATGCATTTTTGAATCTCAAACTGTGTGTGTTACGAGATACAATGGGGCACACCCTCCAAACTGGCATCCCCTGAGAAACAAAAGCAACCACTACCAGTGTAGTTATTTCTACTGTGCCACAAAGGAGAAACTTAGAAAATAGAGCAGCCGGTAAATTCTATTGAAAATTCTATTTGTAGAAAGCAGTATGGCAGGAATCATCAGCTCTGATTTGTCTGGCAATGGCAGATTATAGGATATTAGGGGAAAGGTAAGGGCTACAGATTGTAATTTATACACAAACATACAAGTTTATAAGACAGGAATTTTTGCTGCCTTAAAAAGCAGATTTGGATTCAGTCCAGTATATTCAGCATATGCTTAAGCTAAAAAGTACTCATTTAGATCAAGTTGATGGTATTATTAAAATGAAAATTATTGAAGATTATTAATATTGATAATTATCTATATCTTGTTTAATAATTATAGTGTTCAATAATTATTAGTGATCATTAATAATGATGAGATTAAGGAGTGGACCATCTGCATGGGTCCTATACCAAAGGAGAGATATTTTTAGCCTGTTTCACTTTTTAAATTCAAAAGCAATTTAGTATGATAACAAAAAGAACAGAGCCTTTGAAAAAGAGGAGTAAATATTTTCATATTGTTGACTGTTTATCGCATCTTTTATTTGTTTTTACCATACAAAATTTTAAAGCATTTTCTTCTGTTGTATTTCCAGTATTAAGCCTTTGCAAACATAGTCAACTTTAGAAACATTTTCTTTTGTTTTCATTTCTCATTGCTTATGTAATTACATTATGTCATTACAATAATATAACTAACATAAAAAGTCTAATAATTACAGTTCAACTGGTAGAAGCAGAAACACGTAAGTCAGTTTGTATGTGATTTGTCATGCGCAAGGGTTCAGCATACTGTGGGCATTGGTTCTGGGAAAAATAAGTGATGATGATTATTGAAGACCTTGTTAGACAAATGTTTAAAAATTATCTTAAGTATGAAGATAGGCCATTTTTATATTTCTGTTGCTTTGTTTTTCTCCATCTTGTATATAGTTTTAGATGTAATATTTAAATTAGTTATTTTATTCAGTTTTGACTTGACCCCTGTATCCCTCAGGCATAGTAGTAAGAGAAAAATAATTATTTTAGCGCTATTTAATTTTATTTGTGTGCTGATTAGCCCTGTTATCAGTGGAAACTACTTAACTTGAAATAATTGCTCTGTTTTGTTTTGTGAATTTCCTTAGAAAGAACTCTTCAAATGTTTAAGATGCTTGGCAATTGATTTTTCATGAGGTATATTTTATAAGAAAAACCTGCTTTCTAACTATTATTTAAATTATTACTATTTTTTTTTATCTTGAAGCTACCAGAAGATCTTATAATGGACTATTACCAGAAGTATAAGCCTAGAATGAATGAGTTGGAAGCTTTTAATATGGTAAATCTCAGAATTAAACATATTAAATTGGATATGTTGCTAGACTTCAATAGGGTCTTATTAAATTTTATTATGGAACAAGCCAATCTCTATATTTTTTTTCTGTTTTTATGAAAAGGCTGTTTGGATCACTTCCTACTGCAGAGCTATATTAAGTGTCAGTAATGCAATAAAGAGAACATGTGGCAGATTCCTCTTAAAGTGTGTTATAAATGCATGGAGTGAAGTTTCAGAATCCTTTGAACACATATTGGTCTCAAAGGTAGCTATTTCACAAGCATTCCTTTTAATGAATTTCATTCTTAGTCACCCTTTTAAAAACCTTTCTATCACAAGTGATTGCTTATTGGATTCTGCCCCAAAGTCACTTAAAGGTCTTTCTGTCTCTGTTATTGTTAAAGAGAAACTATATCTTTTTGGTGTTCTGTTTCTGAAGACGCACAATCGGTATTAGAAAAGTGACCCGTGAAATCTTTTTACATGTATTTTCTTAAATATGAGTGTTTAAAAAAATAAGCTGGTATCTTTTTTCTTTTTCCTTTTTGTTGTTTTGTTTTTGTTTTAAGTACCACCATTCTATATTATTCTTCTTTTAGTTGAAAGTTGTTCTGGCTCCTTGTATAGAGACCTTGATTCTTCTAGATCGGCTTTGCTACCTTAAAGAACAGGTAAACTGTGTTTTCTTATACATAACAAACGTCTTTATTAAAAACAATTTTCATACTTATATAAAATAAGGTCATTTTACATAAAATGCCAAAATGATTTTCTCCTATTGTCATAGTTTAAAATTCCAGTTTATATCTTTTAAAACATCCAAGTATATGTATGACACATTTTCAACAAAGCTACTTTTAAAAAATAAATATTCTTTTAATTATGTGGCAGTTACTGTACGTAGGCGGTGAATGCATGTTATCCTATATAACGCACAGCAAAAATTTAATGCTGAGAAGACATAAAGCATACTGTGTGCACATTACGTTTTATAAAAGTTTGTCTTTTAGTTACAAGAGTTGCCTTAGTCATTCATAGATTTTTGGACCTGATTACTCTGCAGTAGAAACACATAGTTCTGCTCAATGAAGACATTTGATTTTTCAACCTTGCATGAATGAATAAAATACTACTTTTGATTATATTTAATGTAAATATTCTTTGCAGATTATACTTAACTGTGGCCTAAACAAAGTTTTGTGAGGTGTTTCAATCTTACACATTTGTGGACCCTGCCTAATGTTCCCTGTATAAGTTCTTTACTTTTACAATTTTATCATAACGAGAGCTCTACTTTCTTCTCCTCAGTATGTTACTGGGAACAGATAGATTTATGCATTTGTCCTAATTTATATTTTTATGAATCAGGACAATTTTTCAATAATTTTAATGATACACTTTTTCAGATGACTAGCTAAGTCCAAAAGTTATCCTTGGGTCCCAAGTTGGCAGGTGGCAGAATGAATGCATATTTCACTAGTACTCATTTTCTTTTTAGAAAAATAAATTTTTTTAAATTTTCATTTTATTTGAAAGACATAACAGGACAGTGAAAGACAGACAAACATATGTAACTTACTGATTAACTCTCCAGGTGCCTACAGCATCTCAGGCTGGAAAGGCTGAAGCCAGTGGCCAGGAATTCGATCCTGGTCTCCCATGTCAGTGAGGGAAACTCAACTACTTAGCTCTCACTGCTGCCAGTAGGGTGCATGTTAGCTGGCAGCTGCAATTGAGAGTTAGGTCAGCACTCAAATCCAAACATTCCAGCATGGAATTACAGGTACCACAGCAGCATCTTAAATGTTAGGCCAGACACTCACCCCTCATTTTCCTATTTACAACAATTTCTGTTGACCTAGATACTGTAGTTAGATACTAGGTATTCACAGTGATTCTTATGCTATAATGAAATAATGGAATCATATGAATATCAATTTCAGTATTTTAAATCTCATAAAACTAATGCATATTTATATTACAAATGTTAAATACATAATTTATAAGACAGAAACATCAAAAGTAGCCATAAAGCCATCCCTTGAGATTACCTATTAGATTTTCAGTTTATTTTCTAATACATATAATTTGTACTTTAATTGAGGTCAAATCTTAAGTGCATTTTGCATCTATTTTGTTTCATTTATTTAAAATTCTCACATCTCAATTGGAATATGCTGCAGAGTGTACATGCATCATCAAAAAGAACAAGTTCTTTAATACCCCATTTGTTATTGTCCATATCTAGCTTTTCATGATCACAGTAAATAAAACTTGTAATTCCATTTTGTATGTACATCTCTAATAATTTATTCAACATAAATCTTTGAAGATGAAATTTTACCTAAGAAAGAATACTTTTGCATAACTTTACTTGGTTTTAATAATAGCCTTTGGCTTGACTGATTTTCCCTTTGTTTTTTCAACACATGGTTACATATTGAAATCACCTATCAATCTGCAGGAAGATGTTACGTGGTCTGCGCTTGTGAAGTTGTTTGATCCTGTTGCGTCTCCCAGATGTTATGCCGTTCTTGCCCTGAAGAAGCAGGAGTGATCTAAGTTGAAGCAAATTATTAGGTATATGTTTGTCAGAAGTGTTGCAAAGATTACATTTGTAGGCATTTATGTCGTGCAAATATTTTAAAATAATAACTATGCATTTTAGATAAACAGTGACGTAATGGCTAACAGAAGGCCATATTCCATTTTTCCATTGCACAGGTACACACTAATAAATAAGAACTCATGGAAATATTACAGAGAGTCGACCTGCGTTCCTGAGTTGCTATGGCAGTTGGACATTGTATTCTGGGTTTTCATTCTTGTCCTGTATTTGAGATCTTGATATTTATTACAGTTCACATTTTGACTTTTAATGAATAAAACAGATGAAAGGCACAAATGTAGATAGAATTTAAATTAGCTGTATTTGAAAGTCCTTTGCATTTTTCTATACATTTTGGAAAATTTGTCCACATGACCGGAAGGGAAAATCTACTTCTAAAAGGAAGAACAACCCAGGAACCAGGCCAGCTATTAAAAGTGCTTAATATAAAGCACATTTTGCACCATGCTTTAATCTAATTTGCATCTTATAGTCTCTCCTCTTAAAGAAATATGCATCTTATAAGTGAGAAACTCACTCTAACAATGTATGAGGCTGTTTATCTTTTTAAAACAAGGTGATGGCTTGGCATGTAATAGAAGTATGTTTTATAAAAGGAAATCTTGAGTAAAACAAGAGTACACGGAAGGAAGCCAGCACCCTGTTCCATATGGAGCAAATCCCTTTCCTTAGGAGAATACTTGTGGTTTCTATTGCACATAGAGAAGATAGAAAGCTGGGCTCGAGGGTTCTTCATGCTCACCTACAGAGATTTTCAAACACTTCAAAGATGAAAAAGTAACTTTTATAAAGTTTGAGTATCTCCAGAGCTGAGAAGAGCACTTGTTTTGCTATACATTATAGTACTGACACTCAGTTGGCAGGCAGTATGTACGTGAGTGAGCAGGTACTTTGTACAGCTGTAAAACATGAGGAAGAAAAGTCATAGTAAAATTTTTATTCTGAAAAATTATCCAAAATTGGCCCTTAGGATATGAGAATCCTAATTTCAACATGTATCAGTATAGAGTTATCGCTGTAAAGTACATGCGCAGATGCTACACCCATGCCTTCTTCCCGAGAGACTTTTGAGCAAGCACTTCAGGTAACATGAGTGGATTTCAGAACATTAATGGAGAGTTTATATTACAACTTAATCCCCATTATCTTTTGATTCTTCCTCATTTTTTAATAGGAACATCATCAGTTCTCATTTAAATATCTGCATTTGGTTCACAAAGTGTCTTCCATCAGTTTGTTCCATTCAGAATCCAAACCAGAGTTGGGTTGTGTTTACATTTACTGTGATTCTTAGATTGTTTTTAAAATAGGAGCCTCCATTTTTAAAAATCTCATGCCATTTTTATCCTTTTAATAAATTGGGTGGTAATTCACTCTGTAGAAATTTTCCAATTAAAGGTTTCTCTGCTTATTCCTTTTAGAACTCTTTTTATACATACACCCATCCCACTGTTTCCTACAAACTATTACCTAGATCTACATACCTGATTAGATGGAGGGGTGTGTGTGTGTGTGTGTGTGTGTGTGACTTAAGCAGCTATATTGTTTTTGGCTGTTCTGTAACAGTGGTACTAAGCTTGAAACCTCATCTACCAAGTATAAAATTGCTCATCAATTTTTCTCTAAATGGTTTTAGCAACCATGGACAGTGATTGAAAACAGTAGGAAAAACATTTTTCACACTGATTGAGAATCCTCCAGTTTCAATTTAAAACAGTGTCTATCATAGCTTTGAGAGAACAACTCATAAGGGCCTGTGGTTGTAGCATGAAGCACCGACATAAAAACGCCACAGACACGAGTTATCACTGCAGGAGAACTTTGGTGTGGTGCTGGGACCACCAAGACCACACATACTTCCTGGGGCAACCCCCACCCCACTGTATCGCGGCCCCAGGGCACTAGGAAAGGATTATTCTCAAGCGTTTATGCCTTAAGATTTTACGTTTGGAAGCTGTTACTCTCCTACCTTTTTTCTTTTTTCTTTTTTTTTTTTTCTTTTTGGTGGTGGTTGTTGTCTTTTTGCCTATTTCCCCCTTGTAAACTAGAAATGACTGTCTCATCCCTGTTCCACAATTCTATTTTGGAAGCACATAACGCTTGATGTAGGCTCATGGCTGTGCAAAAATATGATGGTAGAATGAGTGAAAGTTTGAGTGGGGCAGAACAGCTATTGTTTTGTGTGAGAGAAGCACATGCATTATAGGAGCCTAATTATGGAATTTTATAGATTCAATATTTTTGTCCAACATTCATGTATTGAAAATTTTATTCCTAATCTGTGAGTAGGTGGGGCCTTAGGGCGATGCTTAGTTAATATGAGTCCTACCCTCCTGAATGGATCAGTGTGGCTATGAAGAGGTTTACAAGTACAAGTTTACTCTCCTACCCGTCCTCCTTCCATCATGAGAATACACAATAGGAAGACCAACACCACATGTCAACACCTTCATCTTGCACCTTGCTCTCTCCAGAACTGTAAGAGAATAAATTTATGCTCTTCATATGCTTCTGAGTCTCAGCTACAGTGTATAACTAGATGAAATTACTGTGAGAATTAAATGAATTGATGTATATTGTGAGGGCCTCCAAAATATCCCTAGGAGAGTACCGTAACAAAGTAAAACCAGGTTTACAGGTAACACTCTCCTGAGAATCATGATGGTGTCAAAGGGCAAAATCAGGGGAAACAAGCAAAAAAAAAAAAAAAAAGTATTTGATTGGAATGAGGCTCAAAGTAGTAGAACAAAGAATTGAAAGAGAACATGAGGTAATATTTTAGGATTAGAATACACAACAATTCAAGGGTCTCAAAACAAATCTTAATAAGAAAATGGTTGCTCCATACGCAAGCTTCGCCAGGTTGGGAAGACTGTGTGTCCAAGATAAGTTAAAATACTGCAGTCTCCTGAAAAAAAAAAAATAAACAATAAAATTATTTATTGGTTTAGAGTCTTATCTTTCCTAGGCAATGTTTTCCTATAACAAACAAATAAATCAAGCTGACACAGGTGGTTTCATTCCTTAGACTCAATATTTCCATCATGTTCATACACATGGTTAAAGTTCTTAATGTGAAGTCTTCATTCTTGGGCCATAGTCCCTAGTGGGTTTTTTTTTTTTATTAGAGATAGATAGATAGAATGAATTCCCACAAGAGACTCCAATCTCAGTGCTCCTATCAGCCAGCATTGAGCTAGGTCAAAGACAGGCGCCTAGAGCATCAAATGAGATGTCCTTTCTGTCTTGCAAGGTTTATGTTATCAGGGACTGGAATCAGGCCGAGAGCCAGGACTGCGGCCCCGGCATCTCTGAGTTGGGTTATGGGTTTAGCAACTGTCATCCTAATGCATATACCAGTCACATGCCTCTAGGCACATTCACAGCTATATTTGTTAAATGTCCTAAAAGGACAAAACAGGAAATTAATCATATTTACAACATTGATTTTATAGGAAAATGAGAGCTGCAGTAAAAAAAAAATTTTATTGTCATTAAAAATCAGAAATTTTCAACATTTCAGAATCTGAAGACTGATTTTAAACTGGAAACAAATCAAGCCATAGACCAAGAGAAAATTTAAATCTAGGCAATTCATATTAAAATTTCTGAAAGTCAGACACGAGTGGAAGTGTAAAAACTGACCAACAATATCAGCCTGCATTATGAAAAGCTCTCAGTCGGACACTGGACTTCATGGCAGAAACAGCAGACTTGGGCCTAGCAGCTGAAGTCCTCACCTTGAACACACCAGGATCCCATTTTGGTGCCAGTTCTAATCCCGGGCGCTCCACTTCCCATCCAGCTCCCTATTTGTGGCCTGGGAAAGAAGTCAAGGATAGCCCAAAGCCTTGGGAACCTGTACCCACGTGGGAGACCTGGAAGAAGTTCCTGGCTCCTGGCTTCGGATTGGCACAGCACCGGCCGTTGCAGTTACTTGGGGAGTGAATCATCGGATGGAAGATCTTCCTCGCTATCTCTCCTCCTCTCTGTATATATGACTTTCCAATATAAAAAAATAAATCTTAAAAAAAAAAAGCAGACTCAAGCAGTGCTAAAGGAAAACGTGGAATTTCATGTTCAGTGAAATGATTTCTCAATAATTAAGCTGAAATAAAGAAGGTTTCAGATAAATAACAGTACCTTTAACGGCATTTCGTTATTAAAGTGAATAAAAATGAATGTTGTTCAAGCAAGGAAGGAAATTACTTATGGTAGAAGATTGTGTAATACAGAGGAAAAGAGGCCCGAAAATACGTTAAATTATGGGTAATTCATTTGAACATTTACAAAAGGCAGTAATAACAATAGTAACACAGAGCAAGTTCCTCAGAATTGACAATGCAGGCATCTGACTGAACTCGCACATTAGGTAAAAGATAACAAAAGAATGATTTAAAAGGGACAAAAGGGGAACTAGTAAAAATATTCTATTGTGGATTGAGGCTGCCTGCTGCGGTGGCATTGTCAACCCATCTCGAGTGTGCAGGAATCCTTGAGGTGTGTGACCCAGAATCCTTGAGGTGTGTGACCCAGAACAGGCGACCCTGCTTTGCTGTCTTGGGATTCAAGTCCTGATTTTCTTTCTCATCCCTTCACAAAGGACAACAGAAGAAAGAAAAGGAAAGAGAACTGACAGGACTTACAAAAAGTGAAACCAAGAAATTGATAGACTTCATTTAAAACAAACACCATATCAGTGTCCAAGTAGAATATATATAATATTTTAATTAATATAAAAAAAGTTTTCTTAAAGATAAGAGGTCTCAGGATGGAAAGTTTTTCAATTTCCCTGGATGATATAGTAATTCTAATGATATGCATTCATTTGAAAATATAATGATGACATATATAAGGAACTAATACAACCACAAAATATATATATATATAAATACACAGTTATGAGGTTGTATACGTGCACCGATAGATTAAAGCAAATAAATGAAGATACAAAATTTGCATGATGTGTTACATAATCGACCTAATGAATATACCTGTACCAAGCTACCACTGTAAACATAGTTTTACAAGCATACTTTTAATTGTAATGTTTTTCTAAAGATTTATCTTATTTTTAGTTGAAAGGCTGAGTTACAGAGAAAGGAGGTCATCACTGGTTCACTTCGCAAATGGCCCCAATAGCTAGAGTTGAGTAGGAGCTAAGAGCTTCCTTGGGGTCTTCCATGGGGCAGAGGCCCAGGAACTTGAGCCATCCTTCACTGCCTTCCCAGGCCACTAGCAGTAAGCTGGATCAGAAGGGAGCAGTCAGGACGCCAACCCACACCGCTGCAGGATGTGGGGAGCTGAAGGCAGAGGCTCTATTACTCCAAGGCTCCTGCCCCAGCATTTTTGAAATGTATTTTATTTAAAGGGTCTGAAATCATGTTTCTACTGTCCCTGACTACAACATGCTTAAGCCAAGGAAAAAAATATTCTAAAGATAATTTAAAAAGAAGAAAACAAAGCTGTGTGCTTTAAATTTTAGAACTACACAGCAAAATAGCTTTTGGGTCAAATCGCTATGGAAACCAGAAAACATTTTTAAGTAAATAAATTTGAAACAAATTGCAATGAAAATAATTACAACACAAAACCTGTGGGATAAGCTAAAATTTTGCAGAAGGGAAAATATTAGCTTCAAGCGTGAATATATTAGAAAACAAGAATACAGGAAATCAAGAGATGAATAGTGAAGCAAAGACACAAAGAGGCAGTTAAGACATCAAAAACTTTGTTAGATATCTGTCGTGCTGCAAAATAAAGTTTGAGGATTGAAGCATTAATCTTTATGAGTTTCTGATTTAGCCATTGAAACACATTGTAGATATATATATATAATATTTAATGCTTAAATAATGTTTTTTGCACAGAGGAAAAGCAAGTTGCTACATCAATGCATAATTCTGAAACCATTCACATCTGACCTATTCATGTTATGTGTTCACTAAAATGGCTTGTTTTCATTGAAAAGGGCTGTTTAAGAAATAATCTGTTGTGTGAAATATGTACTGTGGTTAACCTGTAACCAAGGGGACTCCAGCCCCCTAAACCTCCTCAGATGGCTCGTACTTGGCCAGCAATGCTACTGTCTGTGCGCCTGAGAATTTAT